CCTCAGGTCTACAGACTGTGTAGACCAGTGGTTCCCAAAGTTGGGCTTGGGACCCAATTATGGGTCATGAAGCACCTTGGATAATCTCCAGAAATCAATTTAAAAGGTAATAAAATAATTGCTGATGTAATCCTTTCTCTATAATTATTACAAAAACACAAAATAAGTAAAAATAAGTATTTGTATTTGTGTACAAGCTGTTTAGATGTGTTTTTGGTTATTTAAGAAGTTCATGTACTCAGACCAGTAATATTTGGGGTCACAAGTTTTTGCCGTGGATATTTTGTGGGTCAGAAGACAAAACGTTTGGGAACCACTGTTCTATAGGACTGAGCTCAGGGCTTTGTGATAGCCTCTCCAAACACTGACTGTTATCATTGAACCCCTTCGTAACCAGTTAGGCAGTATACTTCAAGCTGTAACTTCCTGGCTGTCTTGAGATGTTGCTTCAGTATTTCCACATAATGTTCTTTCCTTATGATGCCATCTATTTTGTGAAGTGCACCAGCCCCTCCTGCAGCAAAACAATCCCAGAACATAATGTTCCCACCCCTGTGTTTCAGCCAGGCTGCAAGCTTCCCCCTTTTYCCTCAAAACGTAAAGATAATATGGTCAAACAGTTCAGCTTTAGTTTCATCAGAMCACAGGACATGTCTCCAAAAATGAAGGTCTGTCTCTGTGTGCATTTGCAACCATTAAGCTGTTTTTTATGTTTCTTTTGAAGTAATGGTTTCTTCCTGTCGGAGTGGCCTTTCAGCCCATGTAAATACAGAACTTGTTTCACTGTGGATGATGACACTGTTACCAGCTTCAGCCAGCATCTTCACCAGATCTTCTGCTTTTGTTTTTGGTATTCTGACATTTAGCAAATAGAAAACATTTTGGTCATTCTAACTGACCTAAAACAGGAAAAGTTTAGTGTCTTTTTTATATAGTGTGTGAAAACTTCTGGTTACAAGTGTATAAATGACTCTCAGKTACTACCATGCCAAACTTTAAGGATCTGTAWAATTGACTGAGCTAGTGTTTGTTAAAATACTGATTAGCTGTGGCAGCCATTTGAGTCAGTACTCCAAGAGTTACGGTAATCAGTTGTAGACGTACGTCCAGTGATTGAGAATTTTATCAGAACTCCTGCTGTGGTACATGAGATGCAAACAGTGCAGAGAAACTCCCATAAGCACAAGCAGCTTCATGTTTTTTGATGACAGGCCATTTTAGAGGGGCCCACAGAAAAGTAAAGGGACCTGTGTTAGCATGTTACAGTGTGACTGCGTGGTACACAACAACCCTGTTGTTAAGAGTAAAACACAGTGGCGGATCTAGGATTTTTCTGAGTAAGGGGCCATCAAGGGGCCACAATATTCATAGAGGGGTCAAGTCTTTGTTCACATCCCTTCACACAAATCCCCAGTTTCTGTAAGGTGTATACATATTATAAATATTCACAAATATTAAAGGGATCCTTATTGTAAAGTGTAAAACTGTACACTATTTTGGATGGGGTAGGATCATTTGATATGTTAACTTGACATATTTTTAGTTTTTTGATACATCAACAATGTTGACAGTAGTTACGTTTGAACAATAATTTCAAATATTGATAATCAACACGAAGTTTTAAAAAATATGTTTTTTCACATTAAAGACTAACTTTTGGCATTTATAAATGTTTATTTGTCATTAATAAATAGTGTACTGTATTACACTTTATGATAAGTCTCCCTTTGACAGTTGTGAATATTTATAATGCAGTAATATTAAAATGTTAAAATATGTTTCTTATTGTTATTGTGCTTACAATGTGGTAACCTAGTATGAAATGTTTAATATACCTTTAGATGTAATATGTACGTGAACAGATTTGTCTCATTATTTGGTAAGAGACTGGACAGTTTCGTATTTCTCGTCCGTAATTATTGCATAATAAACATTTAGTAATGATTTACAAAGTGTTTACAGATGAATTAGTAACCTACCTATAAACTATTTAAAATTTATAAGGGGAGACTTATTGTAAAGTACCAAAAAAGGCTTGCACAGTAAATTCTCCTCACCAGTTTTTCATACATTTTACTGAACATAAATAAAATATTTTCAAACACACATGTGAGAAAAACCAACCATCATTTGTCAGATGAAAGACTTTTTTTTACAGGATTGTTCAAATTTTCTTAAGAAGCGAAGAAGAACTCTGTCAGCTTGATTCATTCTGGTCTTTCCTATTTGACTCATTAGCGCCACTAGTGTTTGAACATGGAACTGCATTCACCATCATTACCCCCAGGTAAAGGACAGATGAGTGACAGGACAGGGGCACRTCAGGGGGCCAATCAGATGTCAGCTGGGGCCAATGCCCCTGTGGCCCCGCCCCTAGAACTGCCCCTGGTAAAACATAAAGATTTTTCCCCCCAAAAAAGTAGTTAATCCCGAAATTTTGCATAGTTAAAAATCATTAATACGAGCCCTGCTGAATTTAAGTATTTTGGGTAAAAAAACAAAACAAAACAAAATAACGCAGACTCATTATGTTTAATGAATGAATGAGCTCTTTTGAAGACAATAATTGTGTTTAAGATGTAAACTTTTGTTCACATATCTTCATTTTACCAAAGAAAATTACAGTAAAAACCATGAAAATCTGCTTTGAAGAGCAAAACAGTTAAATGATGAATCAGCTTGCAATAATAGATAATGTTTAAGGCCCATCTATTAGTATTCAGTCCACGATCACTGCACGCGCATTTGCGTGAGCGTCACGTTACGTGGCGACTTCAGCAGCTAAATATATTTTTCTGTGTCAGCGCATGTCTGGGGAGATGAATCTCCAGCTCCTGTTCTGTACTCAAAGCTGACAAGCAGCCCCACTACATGATCTGCTTTGTGAATGGCTAGCAGCAGAAACAGCATGGCACGGCTGCTGGCAGTTTCTGTTTCTGTCAGGTTCAATTAAAGAAACGACAAGACGAGTTTATGGTGACTTTTCTCTGAGCAGATCAACACTTAGACTTTTACAAAGAGTGGCACAAGGGTGGGCAAAGCTTTTTCAGGGGGCACTTATTAATAAAACTATTCTGTCTTGACTGTTAGAAAAGTGTGATATCATTACTGTGTTTTTTTTGTTACCTGTGTGGTTTTCTTAAAAATATGACGTTAAATGTTTTAAAGATTACAGWTGCCAGCAGGAGCAAACTAACAATCAATCCACAGTGTTTTATGACGTGACTGTAGGAGTGTGTTACTTCAGAATGTGAGGGAGAATAAAGAGCAACATTTTATCCTCCTTTATTTTAGTCTTGTACAGTTACACAGTAGGGCACCAGGTCAGCTTATTGACCAGGAACAACTTGTTTGATTTATTCTCCTTTTATAGTCTGAACTCATCCACTAAAGTGTTTAATTACAAGTAACTTTGTACCATAACATTAAATATTCATGAAATGAGGAATAGGTCAAATCTGTCTTTTAAAGTTGTATTACAAAAATAATTAAATTAATAAAAGA